CCCTTTCGCGCGCTTCTTCGGATAAATCCCGCTCGGATTTACTAAATCCGGCTACCCGTCGGATTTACTAAATCCCGGATTTAAGCTGTAAATCCGTAAATCCGGGATTTACTGAATCCCGGGATTTAACGCGCGCACAAAAACTGTTTGGCTGGATTTAGCGTAAATCCGACTTAAATCCCGCTGTAAATCCGATACCAAACAGCCCCTTAGAATCGAAATGATTCAGCAATTTGGAATACGAAGAGGGGAATGAAAGCAATACCATACCCGGGCGACAAGATCGGCGTCCACGACAGGCACACCGCTGGATCTAAAGAGACCAGAAACGGTGCTCTTTCCTGAGGCGATCCCTCCTGTCAATCCAACGATCCTCATATTCGTCTCGCTGCCTTTCACTCTCCACCAAGAAGCTGTCGGCGATTGGGCAAAACTCAGCTCCAGCTGCGGAGAAAAGAGCGAGCGGGGGATGGTTGGAAATTACGAGCAAGCCGAAGAAATTTTAATTAATAGTAGGATTTAACAAATAGTGTTAATCACAGTAATTTAAAATTTAAGGCGATTGATTTATTAAAAATCTAAATTTATTTTATATTTTAAATAATAGTTGCCTACTTGCTTATTAATTTTGATTTTAATTATTATAAATAAGTTATATTTATAAATAATATAATCAAAAGCTAATTTAATTATTAAATAATTTAAGTATTATTTAAATAATATTCTAATTACTAAATATACTATTAATTATCTAATTAGTTATTTAAGTATTCTATTGCTAATAATTACTTTGGTAATTAATTATTTATTATTTAGCATTTCTGCCATTTCATTACTTACCATTTAGTTAAGGAAAATTTACATACATACCACTTTATTTTATGCTATTTACATATCTTATATATATAGGTTTATATGTATATATATTTTAAAACTATTTCAAAATTATATATTTTTAAATTTTATAAATATTATTAAATGCTCATACACTTATATTATATAATTTTTATGTTATTAATTTTTAATAATATTATTATTCATTACATCATCTGGTTCGACCCCGATTCGACTCGAATCGGTCAAACCGTGAACTTCTCCCTCTTCCGATTCGTTATCCGGTCTGATTTTCACAACCTTAGTTAATTATGTAACTTCTTAATTATTTTTTGTTTAAGGCCTATCTACGGTTTCCCGTTCCTCTTCTTATCCTTGTTCGTTTCGACTTCGCCTGGTCGCCTGAGGTAGAATTTCGAACTAAAAAGCTTCTTCGCCGTTCTATTTTCCTGCCGGATCGGAAGTTACTACAGAGACGCCTCCTTCGACGAAGTTCTTTGCCTCCTTTGACGACGACGCGGGAGCTCGCTCGCTGCGACGGTAACCTCTTTCTCTCCTTTCGCGCGCTTCTTCGACCAAATCCCGTAGACCCGCGTAAATCGGCCGAACCCTAGGATTTATTAAATCCTATATTTAGTTATTTACAGAAAAAAAGGGTTAAACGGAGGGATAATTCGCCGTGTGATGTCTATTTTTTCTTTTTGGCAGGATTTACATTAAATCCTGCTCAAATCCGATACCAAATAGCTCCATAGGATATATTCTCTTACGGACAGGGAATAAAAAAAAGCTGAGACGGCTAATTGACAAAGTTTTCCAATTAATTGGCAAGTCATACAATCCGTTTTCTTCATGACAATTCGCCAGGCAATGTATTGGAAGTTGTTGTTTCTTTTTTTTTTTTATGTTTCCATTGTAGTTTTTAGGATTGCATGTGCATTTTAGGGAAATTATTCACGCTGATAGAGTATAGTCCTAACATAATCTCACGAGTCATGAATAGTCCAAATAAATTTACATAATTTTGAGGATTTTGAGAATTTATTATATTCTTTTAATTGATGTTTTAAATCATTGCACTAACAAGTCATCTGATGGATAATACTTTGATTTTAATGGCTGTGAATATGGATAAGCAATCATACATTCTTTAACATTTTGTAGTAGGCAGAGATATACACGTTCACAGTTCCATCTAAATGGGGCGAATAGCTGATCAAGGTATCGTTATGGTTGGTTATGGATTTTTAAACTTTTATCCTTCAAAGTCGAGCTTTCATTTTGGTAATAATATATAACAGCTCAACTTTCTTCTTATACTACAATGGGTTTTTTTTTTTTTTTAATTTGAGAATAAAATCGAGCTTTCTCATCTTCGTAGATGTGTTTCTCTTCGATGATAATTATTCATTTTGTCTTTTCTTTTCTGACAGTTCCAAAATATGTTAAATGATGGATCCCTGATTTCAACAACGATGGATCAGTTATATTTGGATACTTCTCTAGCTTTACCTAATCAAAATGGTCAAATTGATATTTGTGGTATGCCCTTATGATCTTTCATTGTTACAAAGCTTTTTGTTATCATTATATTGTACTCATTCAAGTTTATTTTGTTATACAATTTTAAATAGTTTACTTTATATATCTGGAATCATTTTCTGGTTATGAACTATAGTCTTTCCTCACTTTATTTTGTTTGAGATATACTTGAAATGTTGCTCTCTGTGTCTTCTTGTATGTCACTTGTTTATAGCATAGAAATATATTTGAAATATGACACACTTTTCCTTCCTTACGCAATGCCATCTTAATGTATTAGTACTACTGGCCAGCAAATTTTTAATTCAAATATCAATTTTTTTCTTTTTTTGTTGTTTATATTCATATTTGAATACTCGTCATGTACTCTCTTTCCATTTCTTTTGTTGTTTTGTTTCTTCAGATCTACTATCGCCTATTTCATCCCTAATACTCTTTTTACACTAAAAATGTTACTGCTAGAATCTTACTTGTTAATATGTTTTGCAATCAATTTTTATTGCTTGATTATTTCTTTTATGTTTTTTTACCTGTCCAATATTTTATTAGCTGTTATCTCATGTTTTTTCTTCTGATGAAGATAAAATAGTGATTTTTTTCCACAAAAAATCAATTTTATTTTGAGAAACATTTTTATTCTAATTACATAGAGTATTGCTGATATACTCAAGTAGCTGATGGGGTGAATTGTCATTCTTTTTAATCTCTAGATATCTTAGTTTTTGAGCGTTTTTTTTTGTTGGAAAAACTTGATTAAATGACTCTTATTCATGGCGGATCTTGTGGCAAAGAAGAAATTAGAAAAAAAGGTAATATTTGTTATTTGAAGTTATTAGAGGGGACCTCTCCAGATGGAAAAAATTGTGGCATAGAAGATAAAGGCAATATTTCGGGTTAAGATTATTAGGGTAAACCTCTGTTGTTGGAAAAGTAAATCAGAACAAGTTGAAAAGCAGGCGAAACTACCTCATCCCTGATAAGTTAAGACATGCCAACATTAATGCAATATGGTCACTCTCATGCTATTTTGCAATCAACCAAGGTCTTACTCAATTAGTGTACACTCTGGAATTATACTACTTTCCGGTTCATGGAATCTACATCATGTAGAAATGATTATTGTTTAACATATTTATTGGCTAGAGATTATACATGACAGTTTTGTTTGTGGTGAAGATCCTTAGTAGCATTATTTAAAATTACATAATACGAGGCTCGTCTTGAGACCTGCATCACCTCGCTGGGATGAGGCTTATTGTCATACCCTAGAATCTAATCTAGAAGAATTATTCTTTTATCTTTTAATTTATATAATCAAAGCTACCTATTTTTTTATCAATATAAATAGTAGAAAAAATAAAACTATCAATCAAAACTTCAAATCTATGCATGGGAAGTTTACCCCATGTTTCTACATTTTCCGGTCATGATTGGGCTTGGTTTGGGTGCTAGCTAAAGCTCAGTTCCCATGCCTAGGTTCAAGACAGCAATATAGCCTTTGCCAGCACCTATTGTTGTTAACCTGACCTATGCCAGACCAGCCCACCGAAGAATGCGTTCTACTTTTCCTAGGCAATAAATGAAATAAATGAAATTCGTAAGGCACAACCAGTCAAACAAAAAGAGATTTCTTACTGAAAACTTTATTATTATGAATGCTAAAATGAGGTTATTAGATATGCTCTGGATTTGCAGCGGCAATGTGACTAGTACGTTATTATTGGGATTTGGGAGCACCCTACTGTTTTTGTGATATTGCGGTTTTTTATACAAGATTCTCCTGCAGCTACCATGTGTCAAATGCTTCTTTTTTATAATGATTTTCATATTTTGTGATATTGTTACCATTCCTCAAATGGCCTCTCATAGATAATGATGTGCTTGTTTTTTGAACATGTTCCTTGATTGCTATTGCGTTTTATTTTCTCTTTACATCATAGCACACTAAAGATTCTATGAAGGAATGTTTAATAATTTTTTGTGTTGTGATTCAAACGTGGAGTTGTTTGCAATGGGAAAGTTGTCTTCTGATAAGTTTTACACATGAATTTTATTTCTAATGTTTATTCAACAGACAAGGGTCCAACTATAATTCGGGAACTATTTCACATTGTTTACGTGTTTGATCTTCTATTCAAAATATGTCCTCCAAAATTCAATATTTAATATTCGTACCGTCAGCATGGTTGTTTGTAAATTATGTGTGAAGTATGATGTTATAAAAAGCCTTACTTTCCGATAGGAAACACTTGTAGATCTCAAGTATTTCCTATCATCTTCGGAAAACAACGAGAAGTCTCCACAAAAATCCACACAAAATCACAAAACTGTAGATAATTTGTATTATTTGATGAAAGAGAAATAGAGAATACCAAGATGCAATTGATCCTCTATCTGAGAGGAGGATCTTTCTCTCCCAAATCTCTAGACACCGCTAAAGCCAAAAGAAACTAAGAGGTCTCAAATTTCAGCCAAATTCAAGATGCTCTAACCCTAGGAAAACAAACTATTTAATACATACAAATTAAAAGGAAATCTCAAAATAGTCCCTACATTCAAATTTCCCTCCTAAATCCCTCAAAATTCCTTCCTAAACAGCTCACGCACGCCCGGGCGTGCGTTTGGCGCGTACAGGAGGCGGACATTTCCGCCTCTATTTGCGTTAGCTGATTCCGTCAAACCAGCTGGACTCATCCAATTGACCAATCTAACAATACTCTCATCTCAAAGATCCTCGTTGTCCACAAAGTGGAAAGACTATATCCTCCTCCATTTCTTCTTCATCACAAAAGGTAACAACCTGAAGAGTTCGGTCCTTACACCTGTGCCCCGCTATACCTCTCATCACAACTGAAACAGAGTCCCTTCGCCCTCTTCTCATGTAATTCAAATTCAACTCAAAAAAAAAAAATCAACTCTTCTCATGTAATTCTGTCTCTATGAGCTTCTTGAAGTTGTCCCTAGATCTTTCTTCTGCAGTATTTTCCTTCGAAGTCCTTCGAAGAGTCTCTAGTGTTGGCTTCTTGGATTTCAAGAAGGTGGTGGTCATCCTGTATGGGCCTCCTAAGTTGCTGCCTCTTTTCTCTCTCTAGGTGCCTCTGACCCTCTACCAATTGAGCTAGCTCCATAGCCTCTCCCAAATAACGAGGCCTCATTACTCTAATCGCTACCCGGATCTCTAGTGTTAATCCCTTCATGAAGTTCCCCTCTAGCATTGTCTCAGAAAGGCGGTCCAATCGGCTAGCAAGGTACTCGAACCTTTCCCGGTACTCTATCACTGAACCATACTGCGTCAAGGTGAAGTACTACTCATAGAAGTCTCCTCCCCTGCCGGTTCGGAAACGTTCTATCAGACAATTCTTGAACGCCCTCCAACTTCGTATGGGTTGTCGCATGTCCTCCATTAGTACCAAGCCAAAGCCTTCCCTTCCAAACATAGGCCTGCTGCCGTCAGTCTGTCCTCCTTCGTTAACCCATTGAGTGAAATATCTTCAACCTTATAGATCCGCCGGTGCTCATCCTCTCCCTCAAAGATTGACATCTTCAATTTCCTCACCCTCAGATCGCCTCTGTTCCCACTATTCTCTCCATAATTTTACATTCCCCAAGGGGTGGTTCCCCCCAAGTTTCTCAATCATCCCTTCTACGTTCATACCCAAGCCCTTCATCAAATTCCCACATTCTCTCAAATTCAGCACCCCTTGGATCATCACAAACTCCTCTTCTTTTCAATTCAACCCTCCTTTGGTCAAAATTCCCTCTTTCCCTTTCAAATTCAGCACCCTTCCATGTCCAACCCCCTCGCGCCTCCTCACATACCCTTTACCTGACTCCTCCCTAGGAATAAGCCCTAGTGGAGGCATTTTTTCTATTCCTTCTGAAATCTCCATCTCCTGAGCTTCCCTTTGTCTGATTGGCTTAGGGTTTTCCCCACTTCCCTGGATGTCAGTGACTTCCCTCACCTCCGACGGCATTTTTTTGGTTTGGCCCTCAACCTTTCTTCCCGCCCGTTCCTTTGTCACCGTTGTCGCCGTTTGAATTTGTTCTCTAATATCTTCTTCACCATCTCATGAAGATCAAAAACTATCTTCCACGGATGAAATTCTATCTTCCGCCATTGCTTTCATTTGGCTCATCTCGCCTTCAAGGTGTTCCTCCAATGCATCTACCTTCTTGGCCGCCATCAATACCTGAATTTTTGTAGGTTCAAAAAATTTGGATATTGGCCCAAAAAACAGCAAAAATCCCTTCCTCTAGCAAAAAACAGCCGCTTAATTTTCCGAAAATAGCCCACAAACGGTCCCAAAATCTGCTCTAATACCAATTTGATAGGAAACACTTGTAGATCTCAAGTATTTCCTATCAATCTTCCAAAAACAACGAGAATTCTCCACAAAAATCCACACAAAACCACGAAACAATAGATAATTTGTATTATTTGATAAAAGGGAAATAGAGAATACCAAGATACAATTGACCCTCTATTCAAGAGGAGGATCTTTCTCTCCCAAATCTCTAGATGCCGCTAGAGCCCAAAAAAACTAAGAGATCTCAAATTTCAGCCAAATTCAAGATGCCCTAACCCTAGGAAAACAAACTATTTAATGCAAACAAATCAAAAGGAAATCCCAAAACAGTCCCTACATTCAAATTTCCCTCCTAAATCCCTCAAAAATCCTTCATAAACAGCTCATGCACGCCTGGGCGTGTGTTCGGCACGTATAGGAGGCGGACATTTCCACCTCTGTTCGTGTAAGGCGGTCCTGTCGGACCGGCTAGACCAGTCCAATGGACCGTTCAAACACTTTCTTTGCCAAATTTTGATTTTTTTCCAGTAAATATACCAGAATGCTATACACATGTTTGAAGATATCTGACATCTGAAGCAGCTAATTTTGAACAGTTACTCAGCATTGATGTTTGCTGTGCTGCAAAACTCAATTAGCAGTGGCATGATATATGTGAAAAATCAAATAGAATATTTAAGTGATAGAGTTTTTTAAATATAATGACAAAATGTTTTGATGTGCAAGGGTTTTGGACTAGTAGAACAAACATTAAGAATACATATGAAACTTAGTTAGTTTGATAATAAAAATTGTCATTTAATATTATTGGAAGCGATTCATAGATGCGAATGGTTTAGGTATCTTAGTAAAAATTGTGCGTATAATATAGAGTTCACTTTGGTCACTTAAAAACGTGAACTCTGGTCACTTAAAAACGGAAATCTGCCTTGGACGTGTCAAATAATAACTGGGTATCACGGACACTTAAATTTTATTGAATATATTAAATCTATCATTATGTGAATATTTAGTGTTAGACAATAAACATTTTTTTGATAGCTAAGTTGAGTATAATAAAAATGATAATGTTAGAATGAGTGCATAACAAAATTTTAGTAATTATAGATTCATAAATAATTATGTTTGAGCGATGGTAAGTGTATCATCTATTGAAGGTAATGTTGTGAAAATATTCGATGATTTGTAATGAAGGTAGAAATACAATTATAGGAAAATTAAATATGAAGGATATGGAAAACAAAGATTATACCCAAGGTCACATGAATTAGGGCTGTGGAAAAAGATTTTGAATTAGTTGAACAAAATATGAAATTGTGGTGAGTTTGGTAATAAAAATTATCATTTAATATTATTAAAAGATAAAGTCATTCTTAGATTTTATGGTTTCAAGTATCTTCATAAAAATGTTGGATTTAGAGGATGTAGAGTTGACATTGGTCACTTAAAATGGAACGGTGCCTTGGTTGTGTCAAGCAATAAGAGGGTATTATATGAATCCTAAGTATTAAACAGTAAAAAATTTATTGATAGCCTAGTTGAGTTACTTGAGTATAATAAAAATGAAAATATTAGAATGAGTATATAACAAAAATAGGAATTATAGATTCAGAAATATTTATATTTGAGAGATTGTAGGAGTATCATCTATTGAAAATAAGATAGTGAAAAATATATGACATGATTTATGTGAAGGTAGAAAGACACTCATAGGAAAATTAAAGATGAAGGATATAAACAAAAAGGTTTATATCAAAGGTCATATGGCTTAGGGTTGTGCAAAAGATTTGTGTAAAGTTCAGTCATATGTTAGTTAGTGGCAATAAATGAAGAATGAGAATACATAAATCCTTCTCTAAAAATTGAAATAAAACTAATGGTGATGATATGCAATTCTTTTTATTGATTTGATCTTATCTTCACTGTGGTTTAAAATTAGACTCTTTTTAAAGTATCGTAAATAAACCGAAGCATTTCATTCATTATTTGATTTTATTTTAGATGATGATTCTAAGGATATATGGGGTGAAGATGATGTTTCCTTTGTCGATGATAAGGATTCAAGTGATTCATTTGCCTTAAATAGGGAGTGGGAGAGGAGGCAGAGCCAATTTCATACAATATCCTTTTATTTTTTCTTAAACGCTGGCTGCTCTGTTATCGACATTTTAAGCTTTTTCATAAGTTCATGTGATTGTTATCTTCCTTAAGAATTCGTAGATGGGCTTCAGAGATGGCATAAGTGCTGGGAAGGAAGCTTCTGCTCAAGAGGGCTTCAATCATGGATTCAGGGAATCTGTTTATGCTGGCTATAGCTGGGGTCTTGTTCGTGGCATTTCCAGGCATGGAACATAACCGATCTAACTTAGACTTCATTTGGGATGGCTTTCTTATTGCTTTTTAAAATAGCTTTCTAGTATAAAAATTTTATTTGTTATAGTGGAAAGCTGCTTAAAGAAGCAGTAAGAAAGTCGTTCCAAGCGAAACCTTAATATATGCTCATTTATGATGATTTTTGTTGTTGTTGATAACAGTGTGATTTCAACTCTCCCTGATCATTTAAAGGAAAAGTTGACGAGTAATCAACAAAATAAAGAAAGGTTTCAGAAATTGTATGAATCAACCCGGGCAATTTCATCCAATAAAGCCCTCCAGATTTTTTACAGTAGCATACAACAGAATGGCAGTGGAGATTCTCATGAACTTTGTGAAGATAGTCGCTGCAATCAGCTAGATGTTCTATCTAAAGATCTTAATGATCTCCTTCGTGATTCTGTAGAGCTTAAAGTGGATCTAGGCCTGAAAAAGGATTCAGCCATTAACGGTTAAGGTATCTAAATTATTTTTAAGAATGCTATTTCATGTGGTCAAAACATTTTCAATGTTTTATTTTTAATATATCATATTCTTTTTATCTTCTTCTATCTAGCATGTTGCATAGAGAAATGCATCGAAAATGTGTGTAGAATTTATGGGCGTGGGAAGCATGCTTGTTTGTTTATAGAATTTATAGACCTTGGTTTGGCTGGCCCTCCATCGGGCCAAATTGATGGTTGCAGCGACCTGCCATCCATTGCAAGACCAACTGATACGCCTTAGGTTTCACTAATTAGGGTTTGCCCTAATTTTCCTTCAAGGATGAAGTTTCTCCACCAAATCAAAGTTAACTCAAAACAAGAAGAATGAGAGGAAGAACAAAAGAGCTTTGCATTAATCTTCAAGACAAAACAAAAGACAAAGCTAGTCCACTTCGAGAAGGACCAAATCTCCCAAAAGAAACCCTAGAGAAAACAAGAAGGAAAAGAGAAAGAACTTTCTTCACATGATGCCCCAAAATAAACCCTAATGGCTCCTTTCATACAATCTCACAACTTCCCCCTCATCCCTAAATTACCCCCCATCATCCACCCTCCATTTTCCCCCCAAAACTTGGCCTCCCCCCTTGATGCCCAAGGATTTAAGTAAGTGGGCCCCAAGGGTGGGGCCCACCGTGACCCTCTCCCTTTTCTCCCCAGGTTCGGCCGCCCCCTCCTTTGGCTCACTCGGACCGAACGCCCCCCTCCACCGCCTCCTATAGACCCGCAAGGGTCTCGGATGGACCGGCTCAGCCGGACCATCACCAACATGCAAGACCTATGCGAGGAAGATGCACGTATTTTGATGTTCTGTGTTGGAATCATCATTTAGATTGTAAATTTATTAGAGTAACTTGTTTGACTCTTTATATTAATTGAAGAAGGAACTTATGTTTAAACTTGAGGACTTAAAATTATTGTGTGTGTGTGTATATATATATATATACTGTTATGCTTCTTAGTGATCCAAGAAGCTTTGGCATTTTTCGAGTAGGCATAAATTCCCAAGATAAATAGAATAGAAAGAGAAAAACTAGAAATTATTCATTCCATAATATTTTTTTACAATAGAGGTGTATTTATAATATTTGGGTAGATCAAGTTTATAATATAGGACTGGTCTACCTAAAGCAAAGTAGAAATATAATAAAAGAAATATAGTGCTTATTATATATGCGGGACCCATTTGTCATTTATGAAAAACAATATGTTAATACATGACACTTCCATTGTCATGGAAAACAACCTTGCACTCAAGGTTGAGAAAAAGAAAAAAAAACAAGAAGAGGGCTGCAAAATTTTCTTATGTGGCATCATCCAATACTTTTAATTTCTATTGCAACAAAACTTAACCGCAAAGTTGTGAAAATGTAGGGTGAGGAAAAGGCATAAGGAGAAATTCAAAGTGATCGTCATGAATAGTTTAATGAATATTTTTAGAATATGTCCTAGCTTGCTGAGAGGTAAAACAAAATGAGGTTTGGAAAAGAAAGCTCTATGTAATTCATCTAAAAATTTATGTACTATTTGAATAAGAAATTTATCTTGAATTGTGAATATATTAAGAGCTCTAGAATTAATGCAAAAATATCAAGTACCATTCTGTTTTTGAACAAGCAATATAGGAATAGAAAAAGAGCAAGGATTATGACAAATAATTCCGGTGTGAAGCATTTTAGAAATTAATTGTTCCAAAGCATCCTTTTGAAAATGTGGAGAAGGATAAGGGCGGATGTTAACTCGTTGAGATAAGCATGTAAGTTGAATACGATGGTCAATGGTACGTGGTTGAGGTAAAACTTGTGGTAGTTGAAACAAATGTTGAGATTGTTTGAGTAAGGTAGAATTAGATAATTATTTTATTATGTGGACTATCAATACACAAACTATTAAGTTTCTTGTCTATGGAATCGATGAAAGCATGGATTTGTTGAAGGGATGAATCAATGGAAACAAATTGAACATCTGTTGTAATGATTTCTGAATTTCAAAAAATTGTCATTCTTGATGAGATTGCATGGATCGTAATGCGTCAAACAAATCAGAATTCTTCATGGTGATGGGTCCCAATATGATGAAAATTGGAAATATGCAATTCTTAAGAACAAAAAAATTGGTACTTGTAACAAGGAAAAGAAGATGGTCTAGTAGAAATATGTATCTTGAAATGCAAAATAAATAATAGAATCAAAGGAACGGAGAACCTGATGCGGTCTTGAAAGAAAAATAGCAAGAGGTGGAGGATCGACTGAAGGCAAGAATCCGTAGGTCTTGAAATAACTGCAGATGGAGTTGTTGTAATGTTCCTGAATGCAAAAATTGCAGGTCTTGAAAAAAAAAAATACTACAGGTCTTGGAAGGTTAAAACTGCAATTCTTGAGACAAAGAACGCCTGAAACAAGGTGGAATTGCTGAGGATTGACTGTGTAGTAGAATGATGAAAAGGAGATACAAAACAGCTGCAATAAGTTGTTTCTTGTCTAAATAATGCCAGGAATGTGGCTGGAACTGAGGTTTACTGTTTCTTGAAAACAGCAATTGCAATAAGGTGGGTGTTGTGTCTAAAACAGCGGCTGATTGGACTGCTGCTGTTCTTGAAGGTCTTTGGTGAAAAAGAAGTGGCTGGAAAAAGTCTGGGCAGAACCGAAGAGTTGTGTCCAATATTACTGAAGAAGTGCGGCTGGAAAAGCTGCGTTTGGAGGGTTGGAGCTGCTCGGTTGACTAGAGTCTGTGGCTAGGAAAGCTAGCAGAGGATGGCGGATTGACAGATGGGAAGGAGGGATGCTGATCGGCAGGAAGAGCAGAGGGAAGGTGAAGTTAGTGCAACAAGAGCACTATTTGTTATACTTCTTGGTAATCGAATAAGCTTTGGCAGATTTCGAGTAGGTGTAAACTCCCAAAAGAATAGAAGAAATATAAGAGAAAGAGAGCAAACCTGACATTAATCATTCCTTAATCTTTTCTTATAATATGAGGTATATTTATAATAATTTGGTAGAAAGAACCGGTCTACCTAAAACAAACTAAAATAGAATAAAAAGAAATAAATTAGTGCTTCTTATTACATATGCAAACACATTTGTAATTTATGAAATACAATATGTTAATGTCTAATACATACTTAGCATACTTTTTCTTATTAAACAACCACTTCTCTAACTCTTAAGTCTCCACACAATAAGGGTCTGGTTTTAGACGGCTCTAGCTTTTTGTAAATGTGGTTGTAAAGTTATTGATGGGGATTTTTTTTTTTTTTTTGAAGTTGCTATAGAAAGCCATTTTTTAGTATAGAAATTTCTTGAAAGCAGAGAAAAAGTAGCCAAACAAAAATTATGATTGCGGTTTGAAAAGCGAATCAGTAAGAAAGCTATCCCAAATAGACATTAAGCCTCAGCATGACAGCTCCATACTCTTTTCTTGCTTCAGCCTACTCTCTAGCTAATCTCCCTCTCTCACCATTAGGATCTTACAGGCAAGAATCAACTGTAGCTTGAACTGCAAGCTCATTAGATCTTTATGGTTTTGCTATGTTAAGCTTCGTTTCATACAAGGAAAATAGGCCATGCAGAGCTAATTGCGATTTTCTCTTGGGGGAAAGGTATTCGATTGTTTTTATGTTAGATTTTGGAGTAACTAATCTATGTTGAAATTTATAGTTGTCTTAATATAAATTAGTCATCAATTAGTTGAATTATGTACTATTTCTAATATGATTTATTTGTTGATTTTTTTTTTTTTTTTGGGCTTTCAGTGATAGAATTAGATCTTGCTGGCAACATGATACTTGAAGCTGGTTGCCGCTTGCCAATCAAGATAGATTTCCTTTTCATACTTATGCAGCGCTAAGGTCGGCCAGGACCAGATCTTCTTTGATTTTTGAAGCTCATACGAGCCATTATTGGAGGGTAGCCGGTAGTGACCTAGCGGCAAAAATAGTTCTACAGCAGACTTACCGTTAGATTTTTAAATTTTGTCTACATATATATAGTATTGGTTTGGTAAGTTATTATTGTGTTAAATTGTATAGGAGAAGACTTTGTTCTAAATGACTGTATGACAAAGTAAAATTATGCTTATATTATTAGGTTTTCATAGAGTAGATTTTGTTATGAATAATAGTTTGTCTGGAAACATTTTTTTTTATTTGTAGATTGCAACTATTACTTCTGTTTGGTTGTGCTTTCAACAGGGGCAGAGCCAGAATTTTTTTCATATAGGGGCACAAATTATTGAATTTAAAAAACCCTCAATCTTTTCTTCCAGGCTTAGGACCGGCATAGTTGATTTTAATTTGTTTTTTTTTAAATCTTCGGACTCAACATAAAATGATAGAATATATGATAAAAGAAAAAAAAATTACAATTGAGAATTTTAAGTCATGATATTTTTCTTACATATTATCTATAATTTTTCACGCTGAATCTTCATTTAAGTTGAATGAAAATATAATTAGCAAAATTATAATATTGAAAGATATAATAAAGTCTCAAAAATAACATAAAGTCTTAACTTGTATTGAAAAAATCCTGACTCTGCTATTGATCTTTAGTTATTTGTCTCAAAACTTTCAAATCTTATCAGGAATTTATACGACTCTAATTTATTGAAGTAAAGAAATTGTGATAATCCAACAAAATAATTTACAAATATTAACAAAAAGTAGAAATTAAATTTTGTTACAAGCACATTTTGTTACAAATTAAATAAAAAATAATTATTTCATTTCTTTTAATATTGGTAAACCTTAAAAAAAAAATCTTAAATTTAAATTTTTTTTCTTATATATATCAAGACTATCCCATATGAAAACTATCTAAACCTTTTTGAACTAAAGATTCACTATGTTGTATCAAACAAAAAATATGTCTTCTAATGCTATTGCACATGCATTCCAACCCCTAGCTAGCAACTCTTTAATTTCTTTTAATGCTAGTAAATCTGTGTAATAATTTTTTTATAGATAAAAATTAAAAATGTAATTTAGAAATTGAAGATGAGCAAATAATCAAATGGCTACAGTCCGTAGCCATTCATTTTTATTTCTTGGAAATAGGTACACGATAGAGAAAACCGAATGATTTTTTATTTGAGAAAAATAGCATAATCTTCTCTTTTGGAGAGGGAGAGCTTGATTGAAAAAAGTGAGGTTTGAGGAGAGGCACATATACGTCCTCCGATCGGACGCAGAGGAACGTCCGGTCGGAGGCCAAATCCCGCCAAAAAATGAGTTGTACAGAGCAAATACTGAGCAATACCAAACAATAACGAGGAATACCATCATTTGAAGACCCAATACAGAGTTATACCGAGCTAAACCGAGAAATACCGAGTACAACTCGGTATTTCTCGGTGTAGCTCGGTATAACTCGGTATTGGTTTTCAAATAGCGGCATTCCTCATTAATATCAAATAATACCTAGTTGTACCAAGCAAATACCGAGTTTTTTGGCAGGATTTTGCCTCCAACCGGACGTTCCTCTACGTCCTTACACCGGACGTAATAAAAGTTCGAGTTTAAGAAGGCATAGCTTTTTCTATTTAATGAATGATTATCTTAAGCAATTTTTCTTGGAAACAATAACTAATCTTAATTAGATACTAATTAACGGGCTAGTGGGGGCCGTGCCCCCATGCTAAATCCGCCCATGCTTTCAATAAATTTATGTCCTAAAAAGCTGTTTTTATAATAGCTTTAAAAAATTTTACATTCCCTTTAATAACTTTACAATTACCTTTTCAAAAAGTCATAGCCATCCCAAATAGATCTTTAGGGCGTCTTCAATCGAAAAAAGTCATATTTTACTCTAAAATACAGTAAAACTCAAATGCACTAATTCATCTCCAATCGAACTAAATATCTTATCCTCTTTTGTGGGCTTCTTCATCTCGTTGCAAAGGTAACCATCTTTATCCTGCTTCGCACGCTTCTTCGGTAAATACTGTAACCCAAATTTTTTGTATGAGTGAACAATGCGATGGCAATATTGAAATATGTTAAATGAATTATTTGATACATGTAAGATAAATCACATCATGGAATATGAAATTCATTGCTTCCAATTATATATTATTGAAGCTATTTTTGTTAAAAATATTTTGGGATTATTTTTTTTTTTATGAATTTTCAAATATCTTATGATAAAAATATTTTATTCTCAATTTCATGACTATCATGTTTTTGTTTTTGAATTGAATAATGAAGGCTTTTTTCTTAATAGAAGTTATCTCCATCATAAAATAATAAAAAAATATGAAATATAAGTGCAAGGACAAAACATTACAATAAATTATTGCACATATTAGGATAAAAAAGAAATCAATAGACATAATGATGAAGTGAATATTAATATATCTAAAGATTAAAGATTAGGATGAGAGAGTTCATAAACTTCATTGACTTGTGGTCAGGATTTTCTTGAAACATAGTAGTTATATGTGTTGTGTCTTGTCTTTTAAATCTAAAATAAAATGAACATAGTGTTTTATTCTTCTCATTGTTCAATTCACTCAATTTTATATTATATGCATTGTGTATTGGCTATGTGTGATGCTCAAAATAGACAGGTAGGACACAAGTAATCAGAAGATGGCAGACATTTACATATGTTCCATAAATTGAAGCCCACATTGCTCAAGGGAGCTATAGAGCCACAGGTAACAAAAGATTGATTATTGAAGATAGAGAAGATATTTAACAGCTATCCATATAATAGAAAAGTATTCCTTTTAAAAAGTGAGACACCTCCACGTGCGAAGGCAAAGTTAAAAGCTAAATGCAAGAATGGATCAAAATAATCCAATTTGAGCGCCTCACCTCGAACTTTTATTTGGTCCGGTGAACGTACGCTCCTCTACGTTCGCCACCAATATTTTAGCGACACGTAGCATGACGAAAAGTCGCCGACCCGACCCGTTGTTTTTTGGGTTCTAGCGCGTGCATTTTTTTAAATCCTTGACGAGCCGAACAACATCCCATCACCTTTTGGATATATTTCAAATACCTAGCAAATACCGAGTTGTACCTAGTTTTTTCTAGCAATACCGAGCAAATACCTAGCAATACCGAGCAAATCCCTAGCAATACCGAGCAAATACTGAGTTGTATCGAGCAAATATCGAGTTGTACCTAGTTTTTCTAGCAATACCGAGCAAATACCTAGCAATACCGAGCAAATCCTTAGCAATACCGAGCAAATCCTTAGCAAATACTGAGTTGTACCGAGTTGTACCTAGTTTTTTCTAGCAATACCGAGCAAATACCTAGCAATACCGAGCAAATCCTTAGCAATACTGAGCAAATCCTGAGGTAATACTGAGTTGTACCGAGTTGTACCTAGTTTTTTCTAGCAATACCGAGCAAATACCTAGCAATACCGAGCAAATCCCTAGCAATACCGAGCAAATCCTGAGCAAATACCAAGTTGTAGAAAAACATGGTACAACTCGGTATTTGTATAGTTTTGGTCTTCACATAGCGATATTTCTCGTTTTTGCAAAGCAATACCGAGCAAATACCGAGCAATACCGAGAAAATCGCGAACATAGCATTCCCGGGTTCCGCTCCGGGTCAAGTCGTCGGGCCGCGCGGTAAAGAGTAAGAGCACGTGGCGACATGTTATTGACGGCCGAACGTACCTCTACGTCAGGTCAGAGGACATAATAATTGTTCATTTGGCAAAGGCTACTCCATAGATTCCAAAATTCACATTGCACTTCGCTGTTCGAACCACGCTCACGCAGAAAATCAAAATAGTTATTTTTTTTTATTTTTAAATAATTAAAAATATAAATAAATTTATTAAGTAATAATTTATGAATTCACATAGGCTATTACCCAAGTAGGAGTTTTGGTCTGCAGGTGGAGGTTTGCGAGGGGGAGGATGGCTCCTTTCGCAGGTTGACATTGAATTGAGAAAGAAAGAAGAAGAAGAGCATCTCGCAACTCTTCTTGGCACTTTCAAAACTGAAGTTTATGTCATTGACGCCAACACTTCTTTTTGAACACTCTTAGACCATCCATGGATCCATGAGTATGGTATGGTGCCTTCCACCTTGCACTAATGCATTAAAGACACCCGTGAGGCCGTGATGGTGAGGAATATTCCATTCATGGAGATCTGCATCCCTTCACCATCAATGAAATGGGTCTTTATGATGACGCCGAATTGTTTGTTTATAAGAAGAAGCCGATAACGACAGCTTACCACCCCGTCTCCATCATACAGAGGGGGGAGAATGTCTTCTCGCGGTAGGGGGAGAGGAGCTCTTTCTATTGTAAAAGACCGAGAATTTCCCTACCTTACCAAATTCTTCTGAGTCTTCTGACAAATCATCCGATGAGTCAGTCGACAACATTCAAGTTTCTCTCGAACTAGAAACGAACTTGAATTTGAAGTGCTTGGAGCTGTGTCACCAGCGACTAGTGCCAGCCGGTTTGTAAGATCGACCGTTGATTCATGTCTGGGCCTTATTTTTTGCCCATACAACCTAATTCGTGCATATTTTGGGGTCCCTAATATCATTTTCAACATTTCAGACTCAATTTTGATATTTTTCAAAGCCCAGCATAGCTTCTACAAATAAATTATAGCAATTTTAAAGTTTTGTTGCTCAATTTTCTAATATTTTTTTTGCTCTGATCAATGCATTGATTTCAACAAATTCTAATAATATTCAATGATATTTTACTTGGTTCATGACCCTGAGGGCCAAAGGAGAGATCCTCGACCTCATTGATATCCAAGGAGAGGCCGCGCTTAATAATTTTTTAAAATTTTAATTTTATCTCTTCTATAATTTGAAAGGTTTAGACACATATTTTTGGATTAAAAGGTCTTCAACATCAGAAAATAGAGGGCAATTGGTAGTTGCCAAAAATTGCCTTGATCAAGCACAAATATTGAAGCACTTCCAAGTTGACAACTTTTAAAATTAAATTTAAGATCATTCAAACTCTAATTTCAGCAAACTTATAATCAAACTAAGCATATCAAGGAGACAAATTCAATGACACCAAAATTGATCTAATCCGAGCCTAAATTGGCAGAAATCAAGGGAGCGAAAGCACATTTGGAAGCTTAAAAGTATTAATTGGATGACCAAATAATATCAAAATATAGTATGTTTATAATCAAATCGAGCGGCTTGACAAGAGGAATTCAACAAACCTATGAACTCTCAATTTCAATATCATTAAAGTACTTAAATGTCAAATAGATGATCTAAGATCGAGGGAATCAATACGGGTCATCTGATGGAGTGCTTCGAATTTGCTCTTGATCTACTTCATATTTAAGGTTTATGTCACTCACAAAAATCTATAAATAAACCCCAATTCCTTTCATGAAGGAGACATTTTGTTGGAGATTAGAGAGAATTTTAAGGCTTCAAGGATCTTAGAGTTCTGCCCAAGCACCACCACAAACGAACCTCCACCCGACAGCTAACCACCGTCAGGCCTCTACCTAGCCACCGACTATCAATCGGACCTCCGTCTGATCACTGACTATCATCGAACCTTCATTAACCACCGCCATTATTTCGACTTGCATCATTCGGCCACGGTCATTATAATCTCCCAAGTACCCATACGAAGTTCGATGATTCCCCAAATTATTGTAATTTTACTATATCCATGCTAAGGGACGAGTCAATCTTTGTAACTTACACAATATAGTGGATCTTTTCACGTGGGCAAGACCTCATGTATTTTCCCTTTTTGGGTTTTCTATGTAAAAATTTTCCTGTGATTTTGCACTCTCGTCTCAACTATATATTTGTGCCCTGGATATTCGTGCTTGACCTGCTGATTTTGATCGATGTTGGATTAGCTCAAAATTAGTTTGTTCATACATTTTATTGATCCTGTTACAGTTTATACATTGATATATTAATGTAATTATTATTCATTTTTCTTTTTAAGTTTAGCATCTCTCAAATCTCGCAACTGTGTTTCAAACTTGTATGAATTTGGGCTTTATTTGGGACGGCTTTTTTTTGTTGTTTCTTAAAGCATTTTTATAAAAATTTTGTAATAGAAAGTTTTTTACGAAGCAGCGTAAAAGTCATCCCAAACGAGATCGTTTTCTTATTGTTTCTTAAAGCAACTTTTTTTAAAAAAATTAAAAATTTTGTAGTAAAATATTATTTTAAAAAACATAGTAAGCGGTGCCAAATAAAGCCTTAATTGACTTAAATATTGCCAAAAAAAATTTCAGCATTTATTAACTGTACTATTTCTAACTACAAACAAAGCACAATAAATTTTGAGACCAACTTTTGCCTCCATTGATAAGGCATTATTAATTGTTTGTGAAAAGGAGGGTGATAAAGATGGCCCACAAATGTTGCGGCTATTATGTGGGCTCCATATCTTATCACTAATGAAGGAGAAATTATTTTGTGCAGTTATCGAATGATTCAGAGATCAATCAGAATATATTATTTTATTCTGTATTTAGTGATACATTGCAAAAAATAATGTGGTGCATTCTTATTCACCTTGAACGCAGTTCGGTGACCGCACAGAATAATTTCACTTAACGAAGAGGCGCAATTGAAAAAAAATGAGGTCAAAATATCATAATTAATATTTATATGTAATTAATTTAATCTTTTTAAAAAACTATTTAAAACAAGAATAATATAAAATTAATTAACTATTTATTTTTATCTTATTTTTAAAATAGATTTAGAGGTTTTTTATAATTTATCATAATTAAATTTTGATATAGTATTATGAATCGGCATAATATTAATAAAATATTTTTTATATAATGCCCACACTTTAAATAAAATTTGAGCATCACTAAAGGTGTAATTAAATTAGATTAACTATTGCTTCTGTATTTTGATTTTTGAAAGGGTATAATGTGGTTAGATATTCAGTGTTAGTGATTCAAAATTAAGATGTATAATAAATTAAGAATTATTACGAATTAGAAAATTTATAATAATAATAGAGTAAGAGAATTTTGTATCTTAGGTTTCATTAGAGACGGTTTTTTTACGACTTCTTACAGCAGTTTTTTAGTACAAAAATTTTAATTTTCTAGAATTTTTTACTAGAAAACTACTTTAAGAAGCTGCAAGAAAGCCATCTCAAGCGAAGCCTTAGCCTTGCATTGTAAAAGTTTAATAAGAAGAGGATGGTGTCATTGGATTTTTTATGAGAAAAATCTTAAAAGGGGGAAAAATCGCTGAGCCTTATCTAAGATGATTCTAATATGTAAGCATTGATTACATATGTTTGTCCATCTCTTAATTTGAAGACAAATATTACATGAGAGTTCATAGTTGGTAAAGAAATATCGCAGAATTGATATGGGGCGAAAGACATCTGAATGATTATGACCAAGTGAAAGGTTATTGGGCAATGATTATCTGTTGTTGATAGCCCGATGACTGTCTCATGACATTGATCGATAGACAAAAGTCTAATGGGAGTTGTCAAGTTACGAGCAATGGTCCATCGACGCTAATGTTCAAGTGGAGCTCTAAAATTCTTCAAGCCTTTGAACTCTCTTAAATCTCAAACTAAGAGCCTTTCGTGTAAAGAGGAGAGCATATTTATATATTTTTCAGAGTGACATATCTTATAAATATATAGTACATGCTAAATTGATTTCCTTGATCATTTGCCATTCATTTATCTTTTAACTGGCTTAATATTAAGGGAATTAAGCATAGTGCGAGATTTTGATTGCTAGTTCTGAACATTCAATCACAGCTTTATTTAATGTCAAACAACACAAACATAAAAATCTTAGCTGTTTATTCCCCCCAAAGACAACACAAACGCAAACACAAACATAAACGCATACGCAAACACAAACGCCAAACCTTATTACCGTCCAACACAAAACATCAAATTTTGAACTTCTACCGCTTCATATTAGCCGTTACCTTCTGGCAAGCCGGCCTTGACAGCAAATCCTCCCACCAACCTTTCACATGTGGCCTGGAGGTAATGGCAGAAGCGTATGGCGTATTTATCAGATAGTGTAGATATGGAAGGTGGTTTAGGTCTGCCAAGCTGAAGAAATCACCTGCCAGATACTTGCTCTCAGAAAGCCTGGCCTCATACACATCGAGCAATTTCTCTACGTTTTTTACTGAATTTTCGACGATCTTCTGGTCCGGTGCGCCGCCGAGGAGAACGGGCACGACGAGCAATTGGAAGATTATGGGTTGGACTGCTTTATCGAGCTGGTGTGCTTCCACTTCCATCCATATGTTCACCATTGTAGACTCCTCCAGATTGTCCTCCTTCAGGAGGTCAGGGCCATTGGCGCGCTTGTACTTCTTTGCTATGTACCTAGTGATTGCCCTGGATTCTGTATGTTTGAATGAGCATTATTCAGATGGAAAAGTGAATTTATACAGATTTAGGTTTTGTTGGGGACAATTTTGTTGTTGCTTCTTAAAGCGGCTTTTTAGCACAAAATTTTTAATTTTTATACTAAAAAGATGTTTTAATAAGCAGGAAGAAAATCATCCCAAATGAAGCCTTATATCGAATGCTGAAAGCTAAAGCACTAGAACCCCATGGTGGCAATGATCAATGAGGCATCAACAGTAAGTTTTGTTTTGTTTGAAGATTCTGAAACAAATGAAAGAAAAGAAATGGAAATGAAATTTTGTTTTTATTCTTTCTCCTCGCAATCATTATTTTTATGTACTCTTAGAGTCTTTGGTCATGTTTGTCTTGTCTACTCTTCACACAAGTTCTGATAAACTCTCAACTTGGACAATTTGCATCTCTTTTTTTCACTAGTCTCATTCAGATGGTTTGGTCATATAAAACGGCGGCGGCAGGCTTCCAACGACCCGGTTAGAAAAGTAGATGTATTATATTTGATTTATGTTAAAAAAGGTAGAGGTAGACCTAAAAAGATTTGATTTGAAAATATTAGAAATGACTTTTTTTATTAGATTTAAATGAGAATTTGACTCTTAAGGGCACCTCTAACCGAAAAATCATTTTACACTCTAAAATGCAGTAAAACTTCAAAATAGCTAATTAATCTCCAATCAAACTTCATTTCTCTCCTATTTCACTCGATTACTGTTAAGGTAACCAACTCTCTACTCTTTTGCGTGCTTTTTTCCTCTTTCCAGCTCTTCTTCACCAAATTCGCAAGCGAGAGTTTTTTGGCATAGGTGAATAGTCCGACGCCAATATTGACATGGCGTGAGATTTGGAGTTCGAATGCAACGAATGACGGACGACATACAGTGGTATGCAGTTCGGCTGGAGATGATCTAACATGACACAATAGGGAAAAAAGATTCATGTAGCTGACCTCATATAGTGGGATAAAGGCTTGATGTTGTTATTGTTGTATTCTCGTACTCAAAAAAGCCATTAATGTTATGATAGATCCATAAAATAACTCTCTACCAACATTACCTCTAATACGAACCTTCCTTCTCTCACACATCAATTCCTATTCTAGCTCCTCCTTGTAATTCCCAACCATTTATTGACATGATCAATGCTTCTCCTCCCTTAAAGATTTATACTCGCAAACCATGATTGTTTCCTGTTGAAGGAACTCAATCCATCACTTCAACTACGGCTGAGCATTCACCTGAACCTAAACCCAATAATGTGCATCTTTCCATTGCTCTATGAAAAGATAAACACCCTTGTATCAACCATTTGATGCACTTTATTATATCATTTGATCATCCATGCTCTTCCTTTAGCCTATTTGCCTCATCTCAATCTACAATCTCTATTCTTAGGATGCATTAGAAGGCGCAGCTCGATCCTAAGTAGAAGCATGCAATGTGAACATTGAAATGGATTTTTATGAGATTAAACCATTTCATGCGTATAGATCTTTTGAAAACTATAATGCTCGATTGATGGCAAAATGATATACCTAGATCATACCATCAACTATTTTAAGAATTTCTCCCCAATTGCTTCACAAAATTCAATTTTCCTTCTTTAAGTTGTCATTAATCAAGAGTTGATTATGTTCAAATGGATGTCAGCGACACTTTTCTCTTTGTGGGTCAGACTAAAACCATCTATGTGGAGAAAACTCCAAGATATGTCGCTCAGGGAGAAAGCAAACCATGTAAGCTTTTGAGAATAATATGTGGGTTGAAATAAAAGTCCTCGTTCTTGATTTGACAAATTCTACAATGCACTTTTTGATATTGTATTACACAAGTCATAATACTAATCATTCAATTTTTATTCGACACTCTTCCTCTGAGATGATGTTCTTTTTGTGTACGTTGACAATATTCTTTTCATGAGGAATGAAGCTTTATGCATTACTAAAAATAAAATAGTATCATCATAAGATGTTTGTTACCAAAGATCAATAGCACCTAAAATACTTTATTGTTGTTGAGTTTGCATCCACCGAAAAAAGAGTCTCTCTAACTCTCAAATAAAATATTCTACAGTCCTATTTGAAGAAATGAGACTTTCTAGATGCAAGCCTACTGTCTCTTATGGAAAAAAATTATTCTATGCAGTCACCGGACGATATTCGGAGGCAAATTAAAGCCCGCCACGTTACTTTTTTTGTTGTGTACCAGATGACGTGACGTGCTCTGATTTGCCTCCGGACGATCCGATGACCGCTCAGAATAGTTTTTCGTCCTATGGATACTGCAAACCTTTAAGAATAAGAAACTCTTTGAAGACATTTCTTGCTATCGACTTTTTGGTTGGCAAGCTTAAATGTTTGATTGTGACTAGACCTGATATGTTCTTTGTGTTTGATATAATTAGCCAACACATGAAAAAATTGGGAGAAATAATTGTCCTAAGGATTTTAAAATATGTCAATAAATATCTTGGAAAAGTATTAGTTTTTTAGAAAACTATAATCTAAAATTAAAAAAAACTATGCAAATCTTGATTACACTAGCTTGATCAAATATATGAAGTTAAAAACTTCTAAATCTCATATCTTTGTTGATGGAAATCTTATGATATAGGAAAACTCGACGTAAGCAATTGTGTCGAGTCATCCACATCTAATATTGAAATAGAAATAGAGAGCCATGACTCACTTTGCTCATGAGATGATGTGTAAAAAATAATGAAACTAATATGTTAAACATTACATCTAATTGTGCCTTTTTTTCTCCATTTCTTGCAATCTCTCGTGCAACATATACAGTACTTCATATGGCATAGGATCGCTTTACATGGCATGTTGTGAGCCACAATGGCCTGCTCCTAATTTCTAACTACTCTTTCCATCAACCAAACACCAAAATTTAGGTCCGATATTATGATGACATAAATGATGTTCCTCAAAAGTACAGAAGCATGCATGTGAGAGCAGGGTCAATAAATAGGTTGGGTTTGTCATAGCCTATGTTGCACCGATACGGATACGGCGACACGGATACGACACGATACGGATACGGGACACGTCAATTCTTAAAAATACATGATACGGGTACGGCGCGGACACGGCATCATAATTTATAAATCATACATAAAAATTAAGAAAGCAATCAAAGCATAATATTTTAAATTACAAAAAAAAATGACAACAACATCATTTGTAGCCTTGTAGCTTATAATATCAAAATATAAGTAAGCATTAAATGTCTAGTACAACAACAAAAGCATAAACATAAATTGCCTAGCACATAAAGTTTCAAGTATTCAATAGAAGGAATGATATGATTAGCTTCTTCTGTGGTTTGTCTTTGAACTTCTATATCATCTTCAATAAATATCATAGCTTTTAATTCAGGCTCATCAAGTGAAAGATTAGTAGTTTCTAATATTCTCATATCATCAAGAGACTCAAATCCATCTCGAAAATGAGAGAACTTTGCTCACAGCCGCGGAAGTAAATACGACACATCTTTTTTTTTTTTCGGATTTCTTTTTGTTTTTCAATGGACATGTGTATTGGATACGCGTGTCCTTTTGAAATTAAATAGTATTTTAATTGGATACGTCTTTGGCGTATCCGACACGTATCGGTGGAGTATCGGAGGCGTATCCGTGTATCGGTGTATCTTATACAGCACGCCTTCATAAATAGGTGTATCGGTGCAACATAGATCATAGCGGATGACTTTCTTACCGCTTCTTAAAGCATTTTTTTAATAAAAAAAGAAAAAAAAATCATACTAAAAAGTTGCTTTAAGAAACAGTAAGAACGCAATCCCAAACAAAACCTAAATCATAAAAAATGTCCTTACAATACATCAATAAGATTTATTAATTAATATGATTTGAATTTAAAGCTTCTCACAATATAGCATGATGTGTAAACAAGATTAATTGATATGATTAGTCTTAACATTAATATGTATGACTTACTGATTATCAAAATACTTATTTTAATTATAATAATCAAGAAAATATTTTTTTTACAATATATTATTATTTTTTCACATTTTTATTATTGAGTATCATAATTTTTTTCACCATCACTTAAATTAGTAAGATTTGCAAAGCAGATAAAACAACCGTTCAAAATTTTGTGGGGCATCTTTTTAAAATAAACACAAAAGATATGATAAATTTTGAAAAAAAATTTACCAAACAAAAATAAAAGTGACAAGAAAATTCTTAAAATTCTTATTTCCTACTTAAAAAGAACTTGAAGGGGCTATTTGCTGTAATTCAACTTAGGCTTCATTTGGGACGATTTTATTATTTCTTCTTAAAGCATCTTTTTAATACAAATTTTTTAATTTTTATATTAGAAAACTGTTTTAAGAAGTAATAAAAAAGCTTTCCCTAACGAAGCCTTGATAGAATTTGGTAAATTCTGAGCCAGCTAAATTTTAAAATTATTTTGGCATGACATAGAGTAAATATGATTACAATTCGATTGGGATGGCTTACTTGCTTCTTTAAAAAATAATTAAAAAAGATGTTTTAAGAAACAACAAAAAATCCTAGCTACTTATTTCAAAATTTCAATCTTTTAGTTCAATTAATATTTCAAAAGTTTCAAACCGAAACAACAGATTCTTCCCAAATCTTAGTATATTTTTTTACAAATTTCTGCACTGCCGGTTTTCTAACATTGTGACTTCTCTGCAGTGCTTCTGAGTATTTTTTTCCAAGATAATAAGAAACAGAACTTTAAATTAACTGACTTCACAATAAAACGAAAAAAAAAAGGGCATTAGAGGATTAAACGAGCTCACCAAAGAGCTTGAGGTCGCCGTCTTCAAACACCGGAACCTGGCCGAAGGGCTGCAATGGAGAAAGAAAGAATCGCCATCGGTGAATACAACCAGAAATTAAAAAAAAAAAAAAAAAAAAAAAAAAAAAAAAAAAAAAAAAAACAGATAAACCCTCTTTGGTGTAGCCGATGAAATAAAGCAGTGGCGGAATGCTTACGTTACCGTAGAGAACAGCTTGCTGCTTGTGCTCAGCGGCGACGAGGTCGACAGGAACCTGTCGGTACTCCACGCCATAAACTTCAAGGCAAGCAATCACACGCGCCGTGGCAGTCGAATATGAAGGGCCGTACACCGTCACCGCCATTTCCCTCTTGGTCAATTACTCCTCCTGAGAAGGGCAACGGGGACAAGGAAGACAGTTGAGCTTCTGCAGCATTTTTAAAGCCCTCGGATTTAAATATACATTTTTGAGAAGTTTACATACATACCATTTTATTTTATGCTATTTATCTATCTAATACTTAAAACATTAATATTACATTTCTACCACCCATATACAACTTTAATATCAAATATACCACTCCTATAATTCATTTATATCATTCATACAATCCTATAAACTTTAATATTTCATTCCATGCCCCAAATTTGTTCTATGGGTGGTAGTCATGTAATATTAATGTTTTGAGTGTTAAATATGTAAATAGTATAAAATAAAGTGGTATGTATGTAAAACCCCCTAAATTTTTTTAAATAAATCATTTGATTGCTTAAAATAATAAAATGTTCATTTAGTTTATTTAAGTATGCATTAATATTAATTTTAAATTTATAGTTTTTAAAACTCAATAAAAATTATTTTTTAATTCAAAATAAATGAAATTAAAATCAACATTTTCTATAATTTCTTTATTGCAGGCATATGAGTGCAAAATCTATGGGATTTGATTAGCGTTGGCACTTGACAGATTTTTTTTTTCTTATTTTAATAATAAGATGGATTCATATGAGCTCTTTATTTTATGAAAGTGTACTTTTTATTTTATATGAAATTTATGTTATAAAGTGTGCACTCAAAACACATGATCATTCTTTTTGATTGGTTGAAAAAATAATGCAATATAAAAAAAATAATTTAGAATTATTTAGATAAATGTAAAGTAAATGCATATTATTGTTATTTTTTATTTGATTAGAAATAATTAATATATAGTAAAGTACTCAATGGGGACAACCGGTGAAGGTGGCCGATGGGCAAGCGGCTTCGACTGGGTGGCAGTAGATGGCTAGCGTTGGTGGCCACCGACAATAGCAATGATTGCAGCGGGTGGTGGGCCGGCGGTAGAGGCGATGGACAACAGTGGGTGGCAATCAAGAAAGCTTATGGTGTAAATAGATTTCAATAAAAAATCATAGGAGTTTGGTTTACAATCAAAATAAATTACTTCACTTTACATTTGTTATAATTTACATCATTTTGTATTTCAATCAAACATCACAATTTGTAAAACTCCTGCATTATGAATACTTTACACACTAAAGTAATCTAATCAAACAGCCCCTTAGTAAAAAGAATAAACTTTTAACAAAGAAACTATTAGTCTTGATACGTCCGCAAAAAAAATATCTTGATCGAACACGAATCTCGATGCAAAATCAAGTTGGAAACTTCCGAAATTAAAATTGGGATCATCCGAACTCCGATTTCAGTAAACTTTTATTCAAACTTAGTGTCTCAGAAATACAAACCCAACGACACCAAATTCGACTCAATCCGAGCCCAAATGAGTCTGAATCAAGGACCTAAAGTGCTATTGAAAAGTTCGAATCACAATTTGAGTTACCAAACGGTTTCCAAATATGATTTTCTTATAATCGAATCGAGTGGATCGACGGGACGAATCCAACGAGCCCAATATTGCAGAATTCCGACATCATTAAGACCTTCAAATGTATGATGAACGATACATGATCAAGAGATTCAATATCGGCCGTCCATCCAACCACCCCCCATTTACCCTTGATCTCTTAGCTATTTATGGGCTATGCCACTCAAGAAATCTATAAATAGACCCCTCGTTTTCTCTTGAGAGTGGACTAGAGCAAGAAGAGAATAAGGAAGAAGAGAATGAAAAAAAGGAAGAAGCTCCTCCTCGACCACCACCGGACCACCACTTGAGGCCCTCACCTCCGCCAGACCACCGCCTAACATCGTTGCTCCGCCGGACTACCACTTGAGGCCCTCACCTCCGTCGGACCACCACCTGACTCTGTTGCTCCGCCGGACCATCGCTTGATGTTGTTGCTCCGCCGAACCACCACCTAACGTCGTTGCTCCATTGGACCACCACTTGAGGCCCTCACCTCAGTCGGACCATCGTCTGACGTTGTTGCTCCGCCGAACCACAACTGGAGGCCCTCACCTCCACCGGACCGCCACCTGATGTTATGGCTCCGCCGGACCACCATCTAAGGCCAGGACTTCTACCGTACCATCACTTGAGGCCCATACTTTCACTGGATCATCGCTTGAGGCCATGTGGTCCACCAGGACACCACCTGAGGTCCGGACTTCTGTCGGACCACTACTTAAGGCCCTGAGCTCCACTAGGCCACCACTTGATGCATAGAGTTCTCCCAGAATACTGCCCTTCAACAAGTCTTTCTGACCCCGATCTCCTGCCGACTACGGTTCTTCCGACCTTTGTATCATACAATGGTCCTTCCGACCTCCGTCATCACACAATGTTCTTCCTGACCCCGGTCTCCTTCCGACTACGTTCCTTCTAAAGTTTGGGCCTCAAGTGTTGTCCTAGTATAACTCTAGGCCTCATGTGGTGGTCCGACAGAGCAACGACATCAAACGATAGTCCGGCGGAAGTCCAGGCCTTAGGTGGTGGCCTGGTGGAGCACATGGCCTCAAGTGGTTACCTGGTGGAGCACATGACCTCAAGTGGTGGTTTGGCGGAGCAACGACGTCAGGCGATGGTCTGGCGGATGTGAGGGCCTCAAGTGGTGGTCCGGTGAAGCAACAACGTCGGGCGGTAGTCCAACAGAGCTCAGGGCTTCAAGTGATGGTCCGGCGAAGGCGAGGGCCTTAGGTGGTGGTCCGACAAAGCTCCGGCGGTGATCCGGTTGAATTTCGTCGGTGGTCTAGGAGGAGTTTCTTCCTTCTCTTCTTTCTTCTCCCCTTTCTCAAGAGAAATGAGGGGTCTGTTTATATATTTTATGGAGTGGCATGACCAATGGCAAATGGGGAGTAGTTGGATGGACGGTCGATGTTGAATCCCTTGATTATGGACCGTTCGCTAGACAATTGGAGGTCTTAATGATGTCGGAATTTAGCGATATTGAGCTCGTTGGATTTGTCTCGTCAAGCCGCTCGATTCGACTATAAGAACATCATGTTTGGAAACCGTTTGGTAACCCAAATCGTTGTTCAAACCTTCCAACAGCGCTTCGGGTCATTGATTTTGACTCATTTGGAAACATAAGCCTCTCCTTAACATCATTAACACGTTAAAAAAGAGGCATTAGGAGTTTTCTCAAGCATAGGGACCCCTACTTGTGGAGAGAGATAATTACGGGCAGAGTCCAGACATAGATAAACATTCAGATTTATCTCTATGAATAATAAATGTTAATTAATGTGTTTTTACTGTTCACATAAATAAAATCAAATGGTTCTATTTTTCCTCCACAAGTAATAATCTATCTAGTTTATTGTGGATCGTTCTTCTTCTAAAACAACACCCCAATATATATATATAATGATTAGACATTTGACTATTTGGGTCTATCTTTGGGCTATTATCCCCAATTGTGTTATATGAGGAGAGAAAGTCCAAATAAGGAATTAAATTATGTAATAGCCTGATGCAATAACTTTCAAGTTACATATGTTAGAGGAGGATGTTGGGTTTATAATTCTACATGTATTAAATTATGAATACTATAAAACCAACATATGGATCTCGAGGATGTCAGCTAAGATCATTTTTTTTACATAGTTATAACTTTCAAGCTATATAACTGAACTGAATAATAAACTAGTCATAACTGTACAAAAATCAAAAGATAAACACCTATAAACTCAAATATAAAACTGAACTGCTACTCAATAGTCTATTTTTCATTCCTAAATTCTGAAAATCACAAGCAAACAACAATGAGATACAATAGCTTATCAGGCCACACATATCAAACTAAAATTTTAAATTCATTTATTTAATTTTGTTGAATATTTAAAAATAGTTAAATAAATGTAATAACTCGTTATACTGAGAAATATAATAAGAGCATAGTAATTGTCCTATTATTTAAATAATAATAATGATTAGATAAATAAATTAAAATGCATATGATAGAGCAACTCATATCATATTTTTTCAAACATAGACAAAATCTCAAAAGATTCTGATCCCTTATGACTCCATTTTATATTTATAGCACCAGAACATATCCACATGCATCAAAATATGCCTTATATCCACCAGAACATACCTTATAAGCACTAGAATATTCTCTAACACAGACATAATCTCAAAAGATTATAACCCCTCATGGCTCTCAACGGACATAATTTAATCACGTATGCACATATTTCACCACATTAAAGCAACTAAAGAGTAATTGAGCATGTGTTAAAATTGTACAATATATAACAGTAGACAATTGAAAATCCTACAAGACAAAATTGCACATTTAAAAAAAAAAAACCAAAATACCAGAAAATGTGTAAAATTATGTTTTAAGATTTTAATTATATAACAAAACTATTTTTTAGAGCCCAGATAATTTTTTATTTAATAAAAATCCCACAATTTCTAAATTCCAATTGTAAAATTTTCAGAAAATACTTAAAATGTGTATAATTGTTATCTCTATAACATATAAAGTTATGCGATTAAAATTTTACCAGTAAAAATTGAGAAGACCATAATATTAATTTACTCAAGACGAACAAGTTTTCCAATTGGAGAATGGAAGTCCGACAACAGTTGTGAGAAGACTACAGTCGACAGGCGACATCTATCTGATGGTGATCGGGTAGATCTCTGAGTAGCCTCTAAACTTTTCCATCCTTCTCTCCAATCACTGTCACCTTGGAAGACAACTTATGATTTTTTAATAGTGTAGTTTTGGTTAATCTAGCTAATATTTAAAAACACTTCATCAGATGATCCATATTGACTCTGTTGATCATAAATCATTATTCTTACCTTTAAATTCCTTCATAATATTGGAATAAAGAGATGACGGGTACATTGAATTTGCCTCATTAATATACTTTATTTGATTGTAAATATGTAAGCTTTGATGATCCTTTGATCATATAGGAAGGCTTATAAAGTTTTCAAATTGGCTTCGAGTTCTTTATTTTAGTTTATTTAAGATCAGATCAAATAACTTCTGAGATTAATAAGTTTATCTTGAGATATTTTTAATTCAACTATAAATTTATTGAAATTAATTTTTTTTTTGTTCATGAACGAAATTTAGAAGGCTTTTTAACGAAAAAAACTCAGGGCGACGCCAGCTCGCTGGGCTCGTTTAGCCCTATCTGTGGCTTCTAAAAAACCAGTATTTAGATAAATAATATTCGTATCGCATGCCGCAAATCTATATTCCAGTTTCCACGCTTTGAAGGCACCTCACGCCTTCGCATTTCTCATCGTCGCCATCAGCGACGGCTTGTCTGAGGTTAGGCTGCTTTCTTTTGATTTTCTGGGTTCTTTTTCTCCTGATACAACTTATTATCCCGTCAAGCCTTCCCTTGCGATTTCCTGGCTCCAGTCCACCTCCGTCTTTGAAATTTTTATCACAGGACGCCGGTCCGGTGGCTATTGTAGGATCCACGGGCCTCAAGGATTTGGTTTGCAGCGAACCTGCCAACGTGACTGGAGTATCCAATTTAGGGTTGGGATTTGTTTCTGAGGTGCTAATTTATTCTTTTGGTCCTCTAGGGTTTGATTCTGAGTGTTTATTAATCGACCCCTCTTACTTATGCTACAAATTTTCTTCTCTTCATTTTATTCATGATTTTGCTCTTGTAGGGGGACTTGATCTGAGGGCAGGAGATATTGTCTTCCCCCTCGGTGAAAATGGCGATGCATGAGAGGAAAACGATAGATTTGGACCAGGGCTGGGAGTTCATGCAAAAGGGCATCACGAAGCTGAAGAATATTCTGGAAGGACTTCCGGAACCGCAGTTTAGCTCCGAAGACTACATGATGCTCTACACGTACTCTTTTTATTAGTCCGTTTATTTCTTTTGGCCCTTTCTTGTTTTGGAAATTATTAAATGAGTTGCTTTTCTGTCCTCTGGTGGGTCTCGTTTTGCATTGATCAGAACTATCTATAATATGTGCACGCAAAAGCCACCTCATGATTACTCACAGCAGCTCTATGACAAGTATAAGGAGTCATTTGAAGAGTATATTAGCTTTACGGTGAGGATGCCATCTCTGACATAAAGGATTCTATGTTTAATTATTGTTGAATTCTTTCTTATTGTTAAATCCCAGTGAGAATTGTTTCACTTGCTCTTATCTGCTTTAAACGTGATAAATGATTTGGTTAAATGTATTATTTGGAGGTTGCTCCTTAGATTTAACTTCGTACTTCTACGTTAAATTTGATTTTTGGAGCTGCTCTAATCTATTTAGGCTTGTTTGTTGTTCATTCTCTTGCATCAGATAACAATTTTAATCGTGATTCTCATTATGGAAGGGTGTGTGGGTGATAATCCTTTAACTAAATCATAGGCCTGGCAATTCTTTTTCTAATCTGTGTTCATTAGGTGCTCGGTTTCTTGTACAGTGATTTTCCAGGCTATGATTGGTCTTGGTGATTTTTGTTTGTATAAGAGTAAACTTTCCATCACTTTCTTAGATTATATGTTTGGTGTATTCTTGTTTGTGGGCTTGGCATTTTATTGTCCATGAACTGACAAGTGCAATTTCTTGTTCTCTATAGTACATTAGGCTGTCATTGCACTCGTTTTTTTAATTACTTCAAATTTTGGGGAGGTGTTTTTTTTTGTTTTTTTTTTATTTAGTTAATAAAGTAGGGTGCGATTTCCCATCTCATAGATGTTTTTGAAGATCTGATCTTCATGTCAAGTATGTTGGAAGCATTTCTGCATATTGTGTCCAGTTTACAGGGCCATTGAGAGTTAAGCAATTTTTGTTGCAAAATACTATTCAACTCTGAGCAGGCTGAATATATTTTATTCTCGAGATTAAGTTGATTCCATGCAAACTGTATTCATGGATGAGTCTGCATTATTAATGTCGCCCTCTTTTTTAATTTAGTCAGAACAAGCTTATGAGTTCTGGCTCTAGCTGATGTAGTCTAATTGGATGGATATTTTTCCTTTTTTTTCTTCCATTTCCTTAAAAGCTATTGTGTTTTATAATTAGAGGTATTCCAAGTATTAACTGAGAGGAGTATGAAGAGGGATGTATACTTACAGTGCTACTATTATAAAGGGGTTTTCCTCTTGTCTGACACATAACTTAGGTGGTTGAGCAAGGATCATATCTTCAGTTCTTAATGGATTTCACCAAGCTTGGAGTTTTGATATCAATATTTATTTATTTCTATCTTAAAATATTGCTAGCTTGTCTGTTTTCCTTCTTATCTAGCTTGAGCCAAGTTCAAATATTACTTAGAAGTTTGAAAGTTGGGCTTAACTCAGCATTAATATAATTTTAATCTAACTTGATTGCGTAATTTATTCTCCAATTGCCAATGCTTTTTAATACTTGATTATGCTATAGGTTTCTTTGTTATGGCGAGGCTAGTTGATGTATGGAAAGTTAGGTTGAATGAAAGTTCAAATATGGTTTTTATCAGTAAGCTGGTCTAGAATGCTTTCATATGCTACACATCTACTATAAGAAATTTTGGAATTCTTCAAGGGAAAATGTTCTATTTAGTGGTAGTTTTATTGCGAGAATTCCCAGTGTATAGTATTTTGAATGCATGCGTTTTGAAAATTCTATTTTTTGGTTGGAAGAAATGCAAATGCAATGTAAATTTAAATGTATTTGGAATACATCCTATAGTTCATTTTTAATGTATTTGGAATTTGCCAGATTCTGAGTGAATATCAAATACATGGCTTATGTGAAGTGATGCTGGCCACAACCACTGTTGGCCTTCCGCTCTTGCTGTTATTCGTTCTCACTGTCACCCCTCACTGACCACCGTCGACCCTTGTTGGCCACCACTGCCTCTACCTGAGGTTGTCACTCGCCACCAGATCGACTACCATCGCCACTAGTCGTTGCTGTTGCAATCTTTTGCCACTATTACCATTGCTTTTGGCGGTGACGGCTGTCGTTGCCGCTGTCGCTACTTCTGATAAACTATTATTGCAAATACATTGTTATTTTACTTTTGATTTTTCACTTCAAACCAAACAAACAAAATAAACATTTGCATTTGTAGCGTACTCAATTAAACTCAAAAGTATTTTCAATATAGTATTTCCACTTTATATGACATTCTATTACTCAACATTCCTTTTTCAACCTAACAAGCATCTTCTTAATGAATTGACTTTATAGAATTTCTCTCTTCTTTATAAAATTGCTTGTTATTACTACATTAATTATGTTTTACTTAATAAGTATTCTAATTTTAGTTTATTTATATATGCATTCTTAATAATTATTAATCTTTCATTAATTATCTATGTTCATGACATGTGTTTGATATCTTCATTTTCATGCAACTTTGTGATATTTCATGATTGTTATGCCTTAATATTCAGAAAGACTCTATTTTATCACTTGTATCCTTAGTCGTTGAAACCCATTGTCCCGGTTGTAGTTTGAATACAAATTAAGCTAGTTTACACTATCTCGGTTGAAATGATTGGTTTGCTTGGTTGTTTGAATAAAAGAAAAAGACACCCAAGAAGAGCTAGAGTATCCTAAAAATGATAGAATTCTGAGAAATTTCCTAGAGGTTGCCATGCTGGGAATTTTTTTAAATCAAGTTTGGTGATGTTATAGAGTTGATTTATAGTAATTTATAGAATGAACGATGGCATTTGGATATCAACTTCAGAGTTGCAAGTGCAAAATTTTTTTTTGGGGTGGTATTCTCGACTTATGTTTACTGCAAAAAGGTGATTACATTGGAGACTTTCTTCTTTTTTTCATTTCTTTTACTGCTTGTTTTCTCTCACGTCTTCGATGTGATGGTATCTTATTGTTTGAATGAGAAAATGGATTGTTCTTGGTCTGTGCAACATCAATATTTTCGTTTAAGTTGGTTTATTCCTTTGTTCTGTTCATAAAATAATGACAGATTTTAATGTTAGTTTTTGTGTGTGCACAGTTGACATTCTTTTTGAGAAAATTAGTCTTGTTAACATACGATTAGTTTTAGTTAAGTAGATGAATTCTGAATTTTCTATTGAAATATGTTTTATTTTAAGATGAACACACTGAATGAATTCAAGATATTTTGATAATCACTTTCCATAACATTTAGAATAACCGCTAATATTATGGCATTTTTTGCATAGTAAGAAGTCTTCTTTTATTGTGGATGTGGGCTCCAAAACTTAGTGCCCTTACTGAGAGACTTTTTGGTATATTCTGGTTTAAATTTTCGAAATGCATATTAGGTTTAAGATAAGACATTAGCAAGAGATTTCACTATCATTTCATGTATATTTTATAAGCTAGTGTCAATTTCTCAAATGAAAGTTCTTATGGTTAATTATCCCTCTCAGTGATGAGAGAGAATTTTTGATTAAGATTAGTCATTAGAGGCTAGGTGCTTAGTATATAGTAGCAACAATTTAATTTAAATTGAAAAAATTATTGCTTTTCACTTTCAGTGGATGGTGGGTGGATGATGGCGAACCTGATCAAAATCTCATGTTTCTGTTGTCCTTGATTTTCATGGGTCATCTAATTAGTCAGAGGAGGTAGTTGACACAATATGATCAAAAGATCCTTAGTTGCATAGCATTTTGTCAAAGGAACCTTGTAGACATAGATGTTTGTCTGAAGGGACAAATTCAAGTTGATTTTAGCTAACAATGTGTTTTATGCTATATCAAGTGCACCTTATAATTCATTACTCAAGGGTTTTTTAGTCATTGGGGGTCGTGATAGTAATTTAATGATACAATTTTAAGGTGAAAGCACATGATTAGAGGACCTTGATTGTAATGGTTTACTTGTCGTGCCATTTGGTAGCAAAACCCCTAGCTAGATGATTTGTGTCATGTTCTTACTGGTGAAACAATGTTTGAGAATGAATCATATGATACACCCGACAAGTTATTGGCCATTTGTGAGTTGAGATCGTTATCTAATTTATCACTCTCGACAAATGATTGCAGAGGGTGGATAAATTTTATTTTAAGTTAAAGGGAATTAATTTTACTTAAAATATTTGACTTTTTATAAATTTTCTTGATATTTTTGTTGTTTATTTGAATTCAAGGCCAAAATAATTTGTATATTGATTCGAGAGCTTTTTAAAAATAGATTCACCTCAGGTTGAGATTCACTATAAGCATGGCTATCTTTGGGTGTTTGAATATTTATTTTGTTATTTGAATCTTGCAATTCTGCCTACTTGCAAATAGAGAATTGGATTCATGTATTAACTTAATGTGTCTCCATATGAGTGGCAAACTCTAGAGTTTATATTTTATTATTAATTTTCTTTATAAAAGGTATTGATGGACTAATATAAATAGAAACAAAATATTATTATGGATTATGCAGTTGTATGTTTATTCATAAGAATAAAATTTATAATGATTCTTCCACGGTAAGCAATTTGAAATTTACTACTCGTATTTAATGGGATTCAACTCCCATCAAATCCAAATCTTGTAAATAGGAGGGTTGGACTTGAAATGTAGGACTCGCGACTCTACTCTATAAACATAATGGTATACCTGAGAGCGTCTTGCAATGATATGTTTGATTTCTAAAAGTGTGTCTTTAACTTTTTTTATAATAATAACACAACCATTTGTAGGTAGTTGGATGCTTCTTGATGTGAGGCCAAATTTAAGTTCAATTTTATTTATTAGCTTACTCAATATTTTTAGACATGAAATTCGAGAATTTTATGCATTTGGTTGGAGCACATGTGGGTAAATTGATTTCAATGATCCAATGTATCATGCACATTTTTTTGAAGCATTTGCAAGGCGTACCTGCACTTCCCGTGGTGCATTCACAAAGTGCACTTGTATATTTTTTTTAGTACATTTGTCCAACACACTTACACATTTCTTGATACTTTTATGCCATGCACTTGCATACCTGTATAATATTTGATGCGCTTATTGTCACACCCATCTATAGCATTATTTTAATCTTCATAACCAAAATATAATCATGACATTTGAATGAAGCACAATAAATTATTGTAATTGGAATGATCATTCAAAAGCGGAGGTTGC